TCGCTCCTCCACGATCTCATCCCAGACCTTTGCTTTGAGACTGCCGGATTCCGAAGCCTTCCCCGGCCTAAGGTCCAAGGCTTTTCCCGTGACCATTTTCACGAGCTGCCGGTTCCACTTCTCCAAGCACACGAACTCCAAGCCCGACACCTCTTTTTGAGGAAGCACAAGATCCTGCTTGCCGTCTGAAAGGACCAGCTTCTCCGTGACTGTCAAAGCCATGGTAGGGATACCCTATATACACAAGGGATGTTCTAGACCCTAGCAGCTTGGCAGAACAAGGTCCATGCAGGATGTCANNGTTTGCATCATTTGCATGCAATCTGCGCACAAACTGCCTGCGAGCTTGCAGCCCTGCAGGGCGAGATCATGTGCCATCCGAGCATGCAAGAATGCAAGAACCTATTTCAACAGCTCTGTGCGCCAAAACTCGTGCTGTCTCAAACCAAAACTCCGGGCCGATCTAATGGACTCACTGCTTGCCTTTCACCCGCTTGACGGGCACCGGCATCTCCAAGTGCTCCCTCTTGTTGTCCTTCTTGATGGGGGCCTGCAGCAAAGATGTGCCTTTGGCGATTGCATGGGTGTTTTTCAAAACGGGGATCTTTACCTTCGACTCCTTCGAGCTTGCCATGGACATCACGAGGTTCACAGAATCGTTATCCTCCGAAGTCGGCACGGCAAAAAACGGTGCCATGCAATGCTTCCCAGGTTCGAAAGCTTCATCAACCTTGGGAAGGCTGTTGCATGCCGTGATCCAGAATTGCCGGTCATCCAGCTTCCAATCAACCTGGGCCTTCACAGCATTCGGCAAATCTCCCTGGGATTTCAGCCTCTGCACGATCTTGAAGGAAGACGGGACCAGAACGAGCTGCCCGGCTTTGAACTTTTCAGTGGTCACGAGGGCCTTCGTCGGCTTGAGCTGCATGGATAGCTGCGACAGGATATTCTTGTGATTCTCGGTCAATGTCGCCAATTCCTGCTGAATGCATGCGACGACCACAGCTGCTTGGAAGTCGTAGCACTCGGACGGCATGAAGACACTTAGGTCCTCGATGATCTCAGGCTCACTCCTCGGCTGGAATGTAACCCATGTCCCAGCCAGGAACTGTTCGAGTGGCACTTTCATGACTCCCTTATTCTTAAGCTCGACCAAATGGATCTGCTGGCCGTGGATTCCATCGATTCGGCATTCCAACTTGTCGGCCCTTCGCCGCACGAATGCCTGCAATGTGAAACCCTTGTCTGCAAGAAGTTCCGATGCATTCCTGAGGGAACCATCGGAATTAAGTTCCCTCATTCTTTCAAGGGCCTGCGAATTCGACGATTGGGCTCCCTTCGCTGCTTCGGCAGAACTTTGCCATGGAGAAGTCAACTGCACCCCTAAGGTTCCGAAGAGCAAGGTGGCATCGTGAGCAATGCCTTGGATGCTCTTGTAGTCCTTGCCGTCCTCTGCAGCCTGAATTCCGAGGCAAAACCTGGCCACCGTCATATCCACAATGCCGAGAATGTTGATGAATCGGACATCCTGCAAGATGTCAATGCCTGCATTAGAGACGAGTTCGCGAAGCTGCATGAGAACACGGTCTCCTTCCAAGATCTTGGGGCTGCACTCCCGGGAGTACATCTTCTTGGCATTGCTCTGTGTCAAACCACCACCAGACAACCCGAGTTTGAGGATGGCATGTCTCATGTGCACAAGCTGCTGCTGCCCCTTCATGTAGTCTTGGGCGAGCAGCTGCCAAAAGCCGAGACCCAACGACCGGGTCTGCCCCGAAGTCCGAACGAACTGCTCCGTTTCGCGGAGAAATCGGCCATCGGAGCCGCCGCAATACCTTATATAATAGAATCGTACACCAAAACCCCTATGAAGAGAAACCACAATATATAACATCATCAAAGCCCAGCAACCGAAGAGCAAATGTGTACAAAGCCGGAAATGTCTCCGCACACGGTGGCTTCGAGCTCAATGCCATCTTCTTCACCCCCTGAAAGTCGGGCGGATTCGGCCGA